CCACTCGGTTTGTCTGACCAATATCATTGCTCTATCACCTGGCAATACACACTGGCTTCCACTGAAAATTTATCGCATTTCAACAGCTCTAAAATTATTTACAACCTCGGAAACTACAAAAAAATCAACAAAGAATTTAATAAGGTTGACTGGGCATCAATTTTTAAAGATTTAAACGTAGAACAATCTTACCAAGTTTGGCTAAACAAATACAATGAATGCTATCTTCAATTCAGCCCTCGCATGCTGAACAAACCATCCCTAAATAAACAACCATGGATGATAAAAGAACTTTTATTCCTGTTTCGTCTTAAAAAATCGCTGTGGGCTTGTTACTTCAGTTCAAAATGGAAAATCGCACCCCTGGTTAAGGAATATAGAGACAAAAAACTATGCTCTTTTTCTCTGAAATCTTTCGAATTTGCTCTTGCAAATGATAAGCGCAGCCCTAAAAGACAATTTTCATATATAAATAGTAAACGTTCTGTAATAAATCAGGTCTCACCTATGCGAATATGCGAATCACCAGTTTCATTGAAATCATTACTTCTGGCAAAATTAAAATAGTTAACTCGCTTAACAATCAGTTTCAAGCACTTTTTAGCAAAAAGCCATCCAATAGCAATCTTCCCCATTTTGATCATAGAACTAACACAATCCTCAACAACATAACTTTTGACATTCAGGCCACTCTAATGGAACTCTCATCACTAGATGTATCTAAATCACTTGGTGAAGACAATGTCAGTTCTCACGTTTTATGCTTTTGTTCTACCTCAATGTCTACTCCACTTACTCTCATCATTCAAAAGTCATTTGACAATGGTGGAATTCCAAACTCATGGTTCAAAGCAAATTTAACACCTTTATTTAAGAAGGGCTCCAGAATCGACCCATCAAACTACAGACAAATATCTCTTACCTCGATTCCATGTAAAATAATGGAGAAACTAGTTATGAAGGCAATCATGCAGCATCTTAAATCAAACACTCTTTTATCAAATAGTCAACATGGCTTTTTAGAGAAAAAAGCATGCATTACAAATCTCCTTGAAACAATGGATTTCCGAACTAAAAATTTGGCCAGAAAACTACCAGTTGACGTCATACTCTTGGATTTTGCCAATGCATTTGCCAGAGCGCCACGCCATTATTAGCTTTACAAACTAAAAATGTACGGAATAAAAGGTAATTTTATCTATTGAATGAAAACTTCTCTTTTAACAGGTCTGAACAAGTCATCCTTGGTGACACTCATTTATTTTGGTTACCTGTGACAAGTGGAGTTCATCAAGGATCAGTCTTGCGTCCAATTTTATTTGTCATTTTATGAATGATTTGCATAATGTAATAAGCATAATGTAATAATTTGTAAGATCTACACTGATGACACAAAAATTTTGAGCATTGTCAACTCACTTGCTGCTCAACTTTAACTCCAATCAAATATTGACCAAATTGTTCATTTGACTAAGTTTTGGCTCATGGAGCTATATGCAAAGAAATGCAAGGTCATGTACTTTGGCCAAAAATATTAATTTCTTTTAAGTACTCAATGGAGGAAACATGTCCTCGTTCTACAACGACTCAATCTACATTAGAAGCAACCACCTCTGAGCGTGACTTGGAAATTCAAATTACCAATGACTGTAAAGTAAAAACCCAATTCATCATTGCCTCATGTAAAGCAAATAAAAATTTAGGCTTATTATAATGTATAGCCAAAAATGCATATATAGTAAACAATAAGTATGTAAAATTTGATATATATTTGTGATGAAAGCGGCCTTTCATCTTTACCAAGTGGTTTTGTGTAAAAGGCTCATGAGAGGTACCAAAAGTTAACTATTGGAGAATGTGGCACACTAACAACATACCTGGCCACTGTCAATGCAGCAGGGCACAGTTGACCACCGTTTTTTCGTATTTAAAAAAAACAAAGATTCTAGATGGATCTAAATATCCCATCGGGACAAAAGTACATTGAGTAGAAGCGGATATATTGATTAAGATATGTCTACTGACATTTTTTACATCATTTTAATGAGTTTCTTAAAAAAGTGGATAGCAAAAAAGTATTGTTTTTTTTAGATGATTTATTTTTAAAGCAATTTAATTATCAATATAAATGTATATTGAAATAATATGGATTCCACCTTATAGTACACATCGCCTTCAACCACTTAACGCGCATGTTAATAAAGTAGCTAAACACATGTGGTCATAGGGCTTGTCTAATTGCTTAGCTGAAAATGATAACATTTATATGCCTCGTTGAAACTTTTACACTATTTTTAAGAAAACATTGCAACTTTCACGTTGTTGTTAACAAATTGTGGCCCAACATACTAACTAAAAGAGGATTGATTTTTAATGCGTTTTACTACTGCGGTTTGCATTCCCTAACTAATACAGTTAAAGACTTCAAATACAAAAAAAAAAGAGATAATTAATTTAAAAAAATTCATCTGCGAGATCCAAATTTATCTGTTTTAAGGACTATGGTACCTTCTCCGGAAATATAGCAAACCTACTCACTCAAAATGCCACATTACTCGTACGATGTTACCAGATAATGTTAAGTTTATAAAAGAACCTCTTGCTAAAAAGGCTCTAATGGTTAGTGTTAAACAGAAGTAAAAATAAAAACAAATAAATCAGTCAAAACAAAAACAAAGAAGACTTATTTTTCAGCTGATTGTGATCACCCAACTTCATCTAGTGGTTTTATTCTAAAAATTAACACTGATAATTACTTTTGTTGTGTTTGTGTAGTTTAGGGAGAAGCAAACAAAGATTGGTTTAAATGATTAAGTCGGCATGTAAAAGATGTTTTGGAGTTAATACATATAGAAAATGTTTGCAAAGGACATATAAACGTCTTGTAAGTTTTTAAATAATCATAATGATACAATTTTTCTTATTGCTTTAACATGTTTTTTTGCGCGCCAGCGCAATGAGACGGTTTTCATTTAGGTCTAAACCATTATTTGATATTTTCTAGAAAAATTCAAGAAATAGAATCCTTATATATATATATATATATATATATATATATATATATATATATATATATATATATATATATATATATATATATATATATATATATATATATATATATAAATATATATATATATATATATATATATATATATATATATTTATATATATATATATATATATATATATATATATATATATATATATATATATATATATATATATATATATATATATATATATATATATATATATATATTTATATATAGACATTTTGGATTTTTAAATAAAATTTTTGTTAATTGTTCGAAAATGTAATATTTTTTTTATTTTGTTTAAAAATATTTTTTCTTTTCTTTATTGCCATTTATTGCAGTATAAATTGAATTTTTAAAAAACAAAGTCGCGTTTACATTTTAGTTTGGCGTAAAGCAACTAACTCAAATATCTTAAAGAAGAATAATTAAATATTAAAAAGTTACCAAATAATTACATATTATATAACACATCATAAATAAAATTTTAGACAAAATTTAAAAACTAATATTTTAAGAACATAGAAGTATAATATTATTCGGGTAATATGTTAGTGTATGTAATTTATAAATATGTTAGAGTAGTTATTTTAAATACTATATTTAGCAATATTATAAAGTTTCATTTTGAGAAAGGAAAAATTCTTTCTTCATCTTTGAATATCAATCTAGTTCTTGTCTCAAGCTATTCCAAATTCTCAGCTTATCAATTCTTGTACACTAGCCGTTTTGAATCATCCCAAAAGTTTTCGATTGGTCTTGCTTCTGTAACGTTACCTGGGTTTATATCTTTAGACACAACTTTGTTTTTTTTTTAATTTTAAAAAGTCGATGACTGACTTTGCGTTTAGTGATCAAGCTAGATCAGGCCAGAAAATAAACTCCTTGTCTTTTTTTATAATATTCTAAAACTAGCGGAAGTAAAGTTAGGGTTTTTCTAATACCTCTTTATAAGTGTCTCATTGTCTTTTTTTATAATATTCTAAAACTAGCGGAAGTAAAGTTAGGGTTTTTCTAATACCTCTTTATAAGTGTCTCATTGTCTTTTTTTATAATATTCTAAAACTAGCGGAAGTAAAGTCAGGTTTTTCTAATATCTCTTTATAAGTGTACTGGTTGATCATTACCACCTAAAGTGCTATTGTTTGAGGTAAAATGTCTTTCATTATCCACAACAAAATCTAATTTTTTATAATTTTTGTACAATATACGACATTTAGGGCGCATAGCTTTTTTCTGCTGATGGCTACGATCCTGACGATTTGTATTTTTGAAAGTTCAAATGTTTTTCATTGTTTTTAATAATTGGGAAATTCGAGTTTGACTACAGTTAAAAACTTGAGCTACTTTCTTTTGAGAACCTGACTTATTTTAAAAAAATGCAGTAATCTTTGAAATATTTTCTTTAGTAGCTACCTTAGCGAATCGACCACTTACAACTTTTCTTTTTAGAGATCAATTCTCTAATTTTACAATTTTATCGTAAGCAGTTAATCTGGGTAAATGCCATTCCATAAACTGCTTAGCAACAAACGCTTTACCTTTTACTAGATTTTTTTTGAAAAAAAATTTCCATCATTTTATTGTAGTTGTTTACTTTGACCATTTTATTTTCAATATTTAAATAATATTTTTAATTTAATTAAATTAAATTTAAATAGATTATAAAATCCTCTTTTAAATAAGTATAAAAGTTTTTTGCGTGCATAAAATAAATTACATAATAAATACAATTAAAATATGTACGAAAGTTTATTTATAGAGTGTTAAATATTTAAGAACAAAAAATATTCAAGAAGGGTTCTTTGAGGAACCCTACGGGTGCTCCATCTGCGTCAATGCAAAGAATCCTTAAAGGTTCTTTGAAGAACCATTAGGCTTAAAAGTGAATATTTTGAATCTATGCACTATGATTAGAAACTCAAATAAAATTTCATAAAACAAAATTTCATAAAAATTTACCTTGAAAAATGCAAATGTCATCAAGTCTAACATAATTTGATCCGAATATCAGGAACTAAAAAGTAAAATAAAAATAAGAAAAATGACTTTTTTAAATAATTTTACTATATGAAAAAAACGATTTTAGTATTAGAACAAGAAAAACTTTTTAATATATAAAATATATAACATATTAAGTATTATAAAATGTAGTTTATAATGCTGATTAATTTTTTTTGTAAATGTAAGTACCAGAAAACATAACATTTAAAAACATCATAAAAGTCGGATAGATATGGCATTGCAACCTTAAACTCAACGTGCTTCAAATAAAATGCGTAATTTAACATTAAAGTATACTGATTTTCAAATAATACATTTTCAACGTTGAAGAAATATTTAAAACTTTCAAACAGTTTATTGTAATAGGATCCTCTCATTTTTGTTTAATGTTGAACTAACACAAAAAATACTTTAAAGTTGATTATTGATATTGTTAGTGCTAATATAGAAAGAGTTATAAAAAGATAACTATAAAATACGATAACTTTTTATTGTTATTATATTACGAAGTTTTGTTATCTATATTTACATTTGTTTGTTTTAAATTAATGTTATAACTATAGTAAGAACAGTTTTTCATTGTTGCTTGAGGTAAATATTTTTTACTTTATCTATAATTAAGACTATTTTTTGTGATATGATTTAGAACTTGTGTGGAAAATGTCTATTTGACAACTGTAAAAAGAGTTTGTTTATAAAAAAGTTTAAAATTATAAATTCACTAAAATAGAAAGCAGCTCCAAAGCAAATGTAAATAATTAGTTGGATAAAAATAAATCAGACATTAAAAATTATAGTAGCTCGGTAACTATAAGTTTTAAAACCTAAACATTTTTACAACTTATAAGAATTAAAATGAAAAACTTAGTGAAATTTTATTCCGTGGTGTTGCTCCTTAATGACTTTATGTCGTGGTGATGTTCCTTTTGCTAAATAACTTTAATTATACTAGATTATTTGATAGTTTTTAAATAGAAGTTATTTAGGTTTATTCGAATGAAATAAAGTTCTCCAAGCTTCTGCTTATAGGTCCAATTTAAGTTTAGTGAATCTAAATATGTTGAATGAAAATAAAAATGTAAGACTTACTTGACCTTATAGTTAATAAAAAATATATTGTTATAGTAACTTGAATCTTTAAATAGTAAAAAAATTTTGCTTTTATACTTTTCGGTGTTCTTTCTAAACTTAAAAAAAAAACTACTGGTTGCTAGCAGGAACATTAAAGTGTTGCTTTTTATGTTTATTCATATAAAAGGTTGGCGAAGATATATCTTTAATATATTGTTTCCAGTTTGGGCTGTTGAATGCTGGACCTTATAAACTTAATGCATGGGTTTTGCTTGTGTCTCTATTTTCACAACTAGGTAACTCATTCTGTTATCTCGTAATGAGAGTACAGCTCTAAATCTCAATTTTATGGTTCTGAGGCCGGCTGGTAGTAAGATTTTCCAAACTCTCTGGTAGTTTTCAGAGTGGCTGATTCAATCAACACCAAAAATATATCAAAGTATAGTACCATATTGCGCGTGGGTGGTGTCTTTGCTTGTTCATACGGTATTGTTGATGTTTTGACTATTAAATAGTTTACTCAGCACAATCTATTCTTTGAGTCAAGTTGCTTAACAAATTTATAAATGACCAAAGTACTAAAAACTATAAAACCCAAAAAAGCATCAATTCCTCGGGGGATAAACATTTTTTTCTCTGTTTTACTTCAATCCAATGTAAACACCTTTTTAAGGTACATTTCAAATTTAAGGTTTCAAGCCTATGCAGGGAAACAAAGAAAATTGTGCTAGTGAGAGGGAAAGAAATTTTGTTGTTTACATTAACCAACAGTACTTAAGCACCGCTTCTAATTAGAAATTTTATGCTTTCCCACTTCTTCCACTTTCCTTGTTTTGCCCACTCGACCCTACAAATTTACTTACTACAAATTTACTAAAAAAAAACAAATTAAACTCAAAACGCACTTGCTAGCTAGTAAATAAAATTACTGGTAAAACTAAAAAAATGTAGAAAACTATCGTCGATTTTCCATCCCCTCTGTTTTTTCTAAAATTTTAGAAAGAATTTGCTACATTAGTACACACAAATACCTTTAGGCAAACAAATTATTGTAAAACATGCAAAATGGGTTCAAAAAATACGATTCAACAGAGCATGTTATTATTCAGCTTAAAAGAATAGTATCAGACTTATTTAAAAATTTTACATTCAAATTAGGAATATTTATTGACTGAAATGTGTTTGATACAACTGCTGATACTTTCTTAATAAAATAATAAAATATTTTGGTATAACAGGCATTTCTTTAAAATGGTTAAAAAGTTATTTAGTTATTAAGTTCAAAAGTTATTTAACTAGTAGTAAACAAAGGATCCATTCTGCTCCGTCTTGTAGGGTTTTTTATCGGTTTTTCAGAATTTTGGAGTTCGAGAAAAATTGAAAAACGTCAACGAAACTCCAACAAAGTTTTTGAAATATTTCATTTTTTTATTGGTAAAATAACTAATTTTTTTTTTCTACGATGCTTTTACAACAATTCTAAACTGTTATTTTGAAATTGAAAGCTCTTTAGATATTTTTTTTAAATATTAACTAAATATGGCTTTATATTTGGCAAAGAACTTGATTATTTTGAAAAACTTATTGTTGAAAACAAAAAAAAAAAAAAATGTATCAAGTTAATTTATCAAATAGTTAAAGTGTATTTAAATTAGTATGTTTACATTAGCTAATTCAAAGCTAAGTTATTTAATTTAGTTGAATAAAAAAATATCTGAGAATTGTTGACGAATGGTGTGGCAATAGAACAGTTGACAAATGGTGTAGCAGTAGAGATAAAAGATACTATAATTTGAATGTTCACCACGACTTCATCTATTGCTTAAGAAAAGTAAAATTGGCATTGTGAAGACAGCAATTTCACCTTTCTTAAACAATATGTAACTTGTTTTTCTAAAACGTATGAACATTTTTTATTATAGAAAAGATAAAAGAATTTAGCTTAGATAGTAAAGATATTGCAATAAAAACTATGGATGTCTGTAGGTGGATGTAACTGGGTACCACAACTATGTTTCCGCATCAAATCTGTCAGAATTATTGAATTGATATTGTTTTTTTTTTTTGTTTTTTTTAATTTGATATATGTTAAAAATTATTGTAACAAAATTGTGAGCCACAAACAAATTGAATCAGATATTGAAGCAGAATTGGAAACTGATGAAGACACTGATAGAGAATTGCTTATTAATTACTCATAAAAGTTTTTAAAATGAAAAAAATATTTAAAAAAATTACAAAAAACTTCTAATACTATTTAAGTTCTTAAAGTGTTCATTCTCAAGTATCAAACAATATTGGCGTAAAATTGGCACGATATTGGGTATCTTGGCTAATCTTGGCCAAGATATCTGATATTGTGCCAATATCGTCAAGCAATATTAGGCCAATTTTATTTTACCAATATTGGAAAACAATATTTCGCCAATATAATCCATTCTCGATTTACTGGTATTGTTATGCCAATATTGGCGAAATATTGTTTCCCAATATTGGCTTTATTTTAAATTTTACATACTGATACGCATGCGTAACATTAGGGATTATTGATAATGCCCTTTAGTTTTGTTAAATGTGTTTAAATGTAAATAATAGCATTTTTTTGCATAAACAGGCATCATTATGTTATTATTTTTTTTACAAAAACAAATAAGAGTTCAAAATAAAAATTTTAATTTATGAAAAGAGAAGAAGTAGGAAAAGTATTTTTAATTCAACATTTGCAGAGTGAATCAGGAGAAGTGTTGGTAGTTTATTTTGAAACAGATAGTATCAGGAGAAGAAGTGGTAAGAGTAATAAAAATCTTTTATATAACATAATGAATTGAGTTACGAAAAGAAGTGCTTGTAATTAATTAAAAACATGTTGCATCACGAGAGAAAAGGAAAAATATTGCCATACTTAAGTATCAAGATCAAAACAGTAAGTTTACTCTTAAATGAAAACACTTTAAGAAGATTTAATCTATAAAATATAAGTTTTATAGTCTATTTATTTTGTTAAATATATTCGTTTAAGAAATATATACGTCATTATTGTTTCTAACTGTTATAAGAATTTAATTTACGAAAAAGTTACTCCTGCTTGACACATAATTACATCAATTATATATATATATATATATATATATATATATATATATATATATATATATATATATATATATAAGGATAATAAAATCCTCAAGTAGAAAACAATATTGGCGTAATATTAACACGATATTGGGTATATTGGCTAATCTTGGCCAAGATATCCGATATTGCGCCACTATTGTCAAGCAATACTACGCCAATATTGTCTTACCAATATTGGCAAACAATATTGCGCCAATACTATCCATTATCGTTTTACCAATATTATCCCATTATTAATTTACTGATATAGCTCTATAAATTAATAATATTACTAAATTAAATTATTATTAATATTAAATTAATATTAATATTAAATTAATAATGTTACTAATTAATAATATTACTGATATAATTATATAAATTACTGATATAGCCAGCTCCAGCCCAACAAGCGACATTGGTACGGAAGGAGGCGTGAACTTCCTGTTAAATGCTAACCCTCGGTGCTCTATGATAAGACCGTAAGGACTTCTGGGAGCACCTAAATAATACAAAAAAAAAAGATATTGTTATGCCAATATTAGCAAAATATTGTTTGCCAATATTGGTTTTATATTAAGTTTTACATATTGGTATGCATGCGTAACATTAGAGAATACTCATTAGGTCCTTTAGTTTTGTTAAATGTGTTTATATATATATATATATATATATATATATATATATATATATATATATATATATATATATATATATATATATATATATATATATATATATATATATATATATATATATATATATATATATATATATATATATATATATATATATATATATGTATATATATATATATAAATACTGTTT